TCTTCTCAAGTTAGAATGAACACTCTATGTCTCTATTAGGTTTTCTTGGCAAAATCTGCCCCCTCTAAATTCTATTCTCTGCCTTTCCCTACCATTATGGCCTCGTGGCACTACCAACCCCACAGAGAGAGGAAAGGAAGGGGAGGCCTCTAAGTTGTTTTCCATCACCCATGTCTTAATTACTTCAAACATCAAAGAAGGGACACTCTACAAAAAGACACCTGCACTCGAATGTTTATAGCAGCACAATTCACAATTACAAAATTGTGGAAACAATTGAAGTGCCCATCAATACATGAGTGGATTAATCAAATGTGGTATCTGTATACCATGGAGTACTATTCAGATATAAGAAACAATGGTGATTATGGCACCTCTTGTATTTTCCTGGATAGAGCTGGAACCCATTCTACTAAGTGAAGTATCCCAAGAATGGAAAAACAGGCACCACATGTACTCACCAGCAAATCAGTTTCACTGATCAACACTTAAGTGGATATATAGGAATAACATTTATCGGGTGTCGGGCAGGGGGGAGGGGATGGTATATACATACATAATGAGTGTGATGTGCACCACCTGGGGGATGGACATGCTTGAAGGTCTGACTAGGGGGGGAAGGGAGGCAATGGTAATATACATAACCTTAGCATTTGTACCCCTATACTATGCTGAAATAAAAAAAATCTACAGATTAAAAAAAAAAGAAGGGACATTTTGATCAGTTTTATTTTTTCTTTAATGCAAGCAATGTGGCAGAGACAGATGATCTGGGTTCTCTGGGGTACTTTTTCCTCCTGCATAAAAAAAAAGGGTTGGACTAGATGTTTTCTAAGGTTCCATTCACCCTAACTCTGTGACCTGAGAAGTGGTGTTTTAGTAAAAGTGCCAGAGAAGAAAGAGGCCATCAGGCATGTCATCTTAGTGACAAGTGTGTGCGGAACAGAGTCCTGGATCAGGAATCAAAGTCCTTGTAGTTCAAACTACCAGTGGAGCCTCCCCAAACCCCTCCAAAGCTTTAGCTATGAAAGCTGTAAATGGGGTCATGTTGATCAACTGAAGTGAGGTACATGAAAGAGCTTTGAAAATAAAATCATATACAAAAATGAGAGTTTCTCTTAGGAGAACAGAAAAGAAGACCCCTAAGAAATCATTTCTTATCTTCTAGATTTTAGGTCTCTACCCAGTTTGAAATATAGCTACACAGAGTCCCTCTGCTCACCACCCACATCCAATTCCAGCAATTGAAATGGACTTAAAATTTGCAAAAGGTAATAATAGCAAGATAATAGTAATTGCTAATGAGAGAGAGGCCATAATTTTAAAAATTAGGTAAAGAGACAAACAGCTGAAAATGAAGGTTTGATTTGAAAGACATTTTGGAAATCTGCATTGATTTTGTAACACAAAATTATGTTAGAAATTTTTATATTAAAGAAAATCATAGACCTGTTTTCAGTAGATTCCGGTGGAGAGTATGCCAAGCTGAAGTCATGATGCTTCATAGTCATGTCTTAGTCCTGCCCTAAGCTGCTGCATCATCTTAGACACATGTCTGAATCTACAAGGCCAAGTCCCCTAGTTACAGTGAGGATTAATAACAGATTCTCAAAGCATCTTCACGTAGTTCACTCTTAGTAGGTAAGTTATATGAAATTCACTAAAACCATTTGTGCATGCTGTTTAAGTATTCCAGATAAAAGACATGATATTGTAGCCTCAAAGCACCACATCTGACTTACATACCTAGCGTGCCTTAAATTTTGTTTGTAAATAAAATCTTATAAATGTATTAGGGAAAAGATATGAAATGTATTCATAAGGTGAAGGCTGCTTTTTAAATCCCCACATTAAGTAAACATGTAAGTCCATGTCTTCAAAATCAAATTTTCTCAAATCCTAGTCCACCTGCAGTGCTGTTTATGCTGAACTGTTGAACACATAGTGCTGTTTACGCAGGTTAGGGACAAGAGCTATCTTCATATAAATACAACACTTTAAGGAACACTAACTACATCACTGATCCAGAACCTAATAGAAAAATCTCTAATTTGGGGAAAAAGATTTCCCTTGAAATTCCAAAATATAGGGCATTAAAGAATAACCAGGAATCACAAACAAGCTGGAGTTTTTCAAGGTTGCTTGCAATGTCTATTATTTTACTAAGAAATATATAATGAATTAATCATATAGATAAAAATGACATGTATACTATTCTAATATTTGTTTCCTGTTGCAGAAGAAACCATCAAGGTAAAATGTTTTCTAGTGTATCATTATTAACATAATTCACTCTAAGAACAGAATAAGATTTAAAAATAAAGAGTCAATGGTGTGGTATATTTACACACACACACATACATATAATATTTTTATACTTCCTGATTTAACAAATAAATGCTCTAGGGAAATGTAGACCTGATTGAAAAGCCTAGTAATCTTTCCTTCTGCAGCACTTAAACCATCTGTTTGAATCATTTGGCATGGGTGAATTGTCTTGTAGCTTTTCATGCATGTATTTCTTGTCTGTACAACTGGAAGCGAGCTCCGGGAAGGAAGTTCCCTGGGGTGCTAAGCCCAATGCCTTGTACACCACCTGGGTGCATGAATCATTGATTGACATGTACATTTGCAGGGAAGAGCCTGGTGAGATACACTTAAAACCTTTATTTATTGATTTACAAAATTTACAATATTTACAAAGTTTAGGCATCAATCCCACATTGACATGAATGCTGTAGAGAGTCTAAAAATAAATATGTGGCACATAGGTTAATATACACATCATGGCTCTTTGCACTTCAAGCCATCACCAATGGTGAGATTTAATGGGAAGTTTAATGTGGTAGAAAAGTCAGATGGCTGACCAGTCTTGGACCTTCCACATGAATGGCCCTTTCTTGGCTCCTTGAGGCTGGGGATAGTGAGCAAACCACTTTCAAGAGGATGAAACACAAGCCATTCTAACAGGCACATGGGATGCATGCGGCGACATCTGTCAGAGTCCCCGGGTGGCGGACGAATCTGCACCACTGCGGGCCTGATCCCGGTTCACCAGCCAGGGAGACTTTGGCGTGGTCACTTTCTTGTTCCTTACTCAAATCACATGCAGTGCTTGGAAGATGTTAGTGGAGTGTAACCATGCATAAAAAACGGTACTGGTAGATATGTACAACATCAAATTGTCATTGTCTTACAGCATCTTAGGATGCAAAATCCACTGCCTCCTCTTTAAGCAAGAGGGATGAATGAAGAAGCCATACCCCCGTTCCCCAAAGAAAAAAATATCATCATTTGCACACACACAAATGGCATCCTACAGAAGCAGGGTGAGAGAAACTCCACATGATGAGTAAATTCCCATGAAGTCAGGCCTGGAAGTTTTCTTAGGGGAGGTAATTCCCCCTTCCTTTCCTTTGCAATCCTATCTCATCTCATATAATCTAAATCTGAAGGAAAAGGCATCATGTTATTGAATTTCTTTGAACTTAAGTACCTTCATTTGTAAAGTATAAATACTAGTGATATTCTTTAGCGGGTTCTTGCAGGGATTATATGATTTAATTTATGTAAAGTGCTTAGCATAGTGCCTGGCACATAGGAGGTGCTTAGTACATGTCTTGCTTTCTTTCCCTCTACTCTCCCCACCCCAAGTATAAGCAACATATTGATAAGCCTATCAAACTCTGAATTAAGGCCATTTGATGCAAATTGGGATTATTTTGTATCAGAGTTACTGCTGTCGGTTCATTTTTGGTCCCTGAGGGGTTCTCACTTTATGAGCCAGAGACATTTTTCTGTGCAGGACAGATGGACCCTGACAACATTGTCCTCTTTATCAGCCATGGCTCCACTCAGTTTCATAAAAACGTGCCCCATAACCCTGCACAGAAACTCAGACCAGTGATGGTCACCACCTGAATACTTCTGGGACAACAGCACTGAGGAAACCACGAGAAAAATCCTTGAGGCAAAGACATTACTCTTGCTCGCAACCTGTTATTAATAACTTTTTTCAACACTGGGGCAAGTATCATATACAGCTTTCCACAAACATATATTACAAGCTCTACCACTGTTGAAAAATAAGTATTCTAACTTGATCGTTTTGTTCAGAATAAAGAATTTTTTTTAGAATATATTTTAGTTTCTAGTTATGCCATACAAAAATAAATACTGTTTAAAATGATTCACAAGGAAGAAGAAAAATTGTAACTTGGGATGCCAAAAATATAGGAAGGATGGTGAAAATTTTACCATCTGCTTGAAAAGCAGTATCTAAAAGAAACAAAAACTTCCTGCTGGGTCTCCTTACTAGTCTTGCAATCACCTCACAAGTCCACCTTCTTCTCAGCCTAGCGTATTATGTCTTTGTGCCTTATCAATCTAGAGACAAATTAATGCAGAACCTTCTCTGGAAAGTCACTGGGGATTTGGGGAGGGGGCTTTTTGACAGTGTAAACTGCAGACAAAGGAAGAAGCTGGTTGAGCCATTTACTGGGCTCACAAAATGATCTAGGACTGACCTCTACACATCTTCCTGGCACTGAAATCCTCTCTCAGTGTAGATTAGTTATGCCTGAATAGAACCCCACATCTGGAGCAAACAACTCCCCCGCCCCCTCTTGCTTTGGGACTCTGGACACCACTGGCCCAGGTGGAATCTAAGATCTCACAGAGCATTGCTAGGTGCCAAGTCAAGGTCAATCTCACCAATTATATGGAGGGATAACAGCTGCTTTATGGATGTCAGCTCTGTTAAGTTGGGGAAAATCCTTCTCCAGCCAACTAACAAATACACCGTCTCTTCCACACAGAGTGGAGGGAATATGATTGCCAGCACTGGGAGAAGGATGTTGAGAAAATTAAATTGGACAATCTGCTTACTACTCCTCCAGGGACTCGGCCAGAATTTCCAAGAAGATAATCCATTCATTTTGAAATCAAAGTTTTAACATTCTAAAGCAATAAGTGAATTCATGATTGTATTTAAATCAGTGGTTTTTTTTTTTTAACCTTTGTCCAGAAAAACACACATCTATGGGTGTCCATAGAGTAGATCCCAAACATTTCAGAGGGTCTCAGAACTTCCTGCATCTCATGCCTGTATTCTTCCAAATTAAGAACCCCAGATGGCAATAAATAAATGCAGATCTATTTCTTGGAGTGAAAAGAAAGGTGCATGGCATAGAACTCAGGGTCTGTCTTAGGGGCAGGCTGGCTTTGATGGGGTGTCGGTGAGACTCAAAATGACTACACTGAAGCAATGCTTGTTCCTTATGGTGAGAGCAAAGCTTGGCGGTGATGACGTCTGAGAGTGTCGTGTCTCACGTGTGAACCGTCAGGCCAATGACTCATGCATGACGACGGACCGGCGAGGTCCCATGGATCACTACTAAACGTGGCGCCTCTGAGCTGCTACAACGTGAGTCCTAACCACACCCACAAGCAGGACATGATCACTGACATGCAGTGTGGGTGCCCATTTGTCTGGTTTATGGGTGACGTTGTGGCAAATGTGGCATCGCTTTCATTTCGGGGGAGTGGCAAGTTACAGATGTTTCCTTCACAACAGGAAGTGCAGACCTGGGAGAAAGAAAGAGAAAAAGAAGGGTGAGGAGAAGCCGGTAGGTCTTGGAAGGAGGCAGGGGTTTCTGAAGGAATCGTCTATTTCATGGCAGGACTGAAAGGAAAATTACCTGTTCTACAAATGAGACACCAACCCTACATTTAAGAAGAATGGGGGTAATATTTCACCTGGAAGCAACGTCAAAATGAAAACTCACCAGCCTAAACTTCAAGGGATTGGGGTTCTGTTTTTGACACCCCACCATGTGGTTCTTACAGAGATCTACGGCCTTCCTAAGCCTCAGCTATTCCACTGTGAAATAGGGATAATGAAACCTGCCCTTCCTTTTTCAAAGAAGCTCTTTCTGACTACTCGAGGAACCTGCTAATTGGGTGAACTTTCATTTGCCAAGTTTTCACAGTGAGAGGGACAGCAACCCAGGTAATTTTAAACTTGAATATTTACTTTCATTAGAACTATCTGCATAATTATCTCCATTCTCACTGGGTCAGTTAAAGTTTGAAGGGTTTTCATTTGTGCCATCACTCCTGCTTTATACCGCTTTACTCCTGGATCACAGGGAAGAAATAAATCCCCAGGGTTAGTGACAGCAGTTATTTTAGGTCACGGCTATACAAAGTACAGGCCAGCAGCTTCCATATCAGCTGGGAGCCGGGAATGCAGAATCTCAAACCTTGCCCCAGCCTGAGAGAATTAGAATCTGCACTTTATCAAGCTCCCCAGGTGATTCATAGTCATGGGATAGTTAATACCCTACACAGCCATTAGCCTGCTGAGACTTGAGTCTTTACAGTGGACGTGGGCTAGGGAGACAGTATAATGTCACAGAGAGAGACTGGAAGTCAGAACTGACTTGGGATTCTGTCCTTGTCACTTGCTAGCAGTGCGACCTAAGCAAATGGGACACAACTTCTCTGATCCTCAACTTTCTCCTTGGTAAAGGAGAAAGGCATTAGCTCTCAGCAATGCCTGAGACTAAGCCCAGCCTGCTGGAGGGCCAGATAAAGCCCTTAGTCTTACTCATTTCAAGCCGGGAATGAGTAGGCAGATATTTTAAAATTTAATTCTTAGCTTATTAGAGAAGTTGCTAGAAAATTAGATGTCTGCCTTCTTAGGAAAAAGAAGCTCTTACTAACAGGGCTGTTCCAAGCTATTGAAAGTGGGCCCTGCCCCAAACCACCAGGAAGGTGGCCTAACGGGAGGCTGGATGGAATAGGAAGATGCTGGGCAGAGGCCAAGGTGGGGCATACAGCCAAGCCTGACCCACCAGCAGGAGAGTCAGGGGCATTCCGTGCTCCAGCCAGGGGTCAGGCTGCCTTTCTCTGAGTCTTTAAATGCTCCTTCAAGGCTGCTGCCAAAGTCCATTTTACACTGAGTGCTTCTGCATACAGGCCCCAAATGAAGTTTAAGGGGTGCAAACCCACAACAAGATGCTCTCTCGTCACCCACAAATAACTCAAGAGCCAACGGAGACCCTCTGCTAACTGCCATCCCAGGCAAGACACGAACCCCCCACCTCACAGAAAGTTAATACAGCCAAATCGCCCCGGCCCTCCTCTGGCGAGTGAATGGCTGGTGCATCTGCAGTGCTCGGACACGGACATAACGGCTCCCTTGCTCCTCTTCCTTCTGTTAGCTTTATTACTTTCTTCTGAGTGAAGAAAAGGCTTCAATAATTTTTAATACCCTCTTGGTATGTGTTTACACAATTTATACCAGTTGTCCTATGCTCTGGTATAAATTTGTATTCTTTGAGAGCAAACAGGAAAGGAAGCATCGTTTCCTAGGGGTATAAAGGCGGTCACAGGCAGCCCATGCGAGGGAGGTGGGGAGGACGCCGCGGTGAGCGCTGGCAGATGTCTGGAGAAAGGAGGGAGGCTGGCTATGCTGTACCCGTCACTTGCTTTGTTGCCCAGACCTTGTGGCCTTCGTGCTCTGAGTCTCTGCAGCCAGTGGATAAGCACTCTTCCAGCGGGACGCAGCGTTTGGTGACAGAGATACTGTTTCCTGTGACTTCCATCGTGTGCTGAGTGTAGCAGTATCTGGTCTCTGTCAAGACAGAAAATATGTTTTACTTAGGATTGGGAAATGTTAGCCCAGACTGTCTAGAAGGAAAAAAAAAACAGGAATCTCAACATTCTAATTCCCAAAGAGACCACCCAACACCACATAAGGTGTGCACCACACAGAGTTTATGTCCATTCTCAGAGTTCTCCTTGGAGAGATTCCCTTTGCGTGGGAGCAGGACACCCTTCAAAGAGTATTGATCTCTTTGCTCAGTGGGATCCTCATAAACCAAGATGCAGTGGTATCCCTCCTTGCCTTTCAATGAACTTTGCCCCACTGTACTGATTTTTATTTTTAGGGGGTAAGCGATTTGGAGGGATGATTTGGGAGCTGAGAACCAGAGCAATTTTCAGGAAGATGAGTGGATACAAGAGTTCAAAGAACACAGGGTTAAAAGAAGTTAGGTAGGCAATAGTGGTCTTGTAGGAGATAAAAGACTATAGCAGAGTCTGGTTATGTGCGTGTATGTGTGTGTGTGTGTGTGTGTGTGTGTGTGTGTGTGTGTGTGTGTGTGTGTGTGTGTGTGCGCCAGCTAGTCACAAGGGACAAAAGAATTAAAAATGGATTCGTTGTGTCAGGAGAAAATGACTCTAACCAAAAGAAAGAACTTCTTGCCAGTGAGCTCATCTGGGTGCTAGAATGCATTACAGTAGACAACTAGCCCAACAAGAAAGGTTTTCCAAAACTGAGGAGCTTCCCTTCTCCCTGGCATGATTTCAGTGTCTTTCTCTGATGACAGATAAAGCCAATGATGGGAGATTCCAGAGGTCCCTCTGCCTCTTACGAGTCTGAAAGCTTGAAATTTCTTCCAAAATTCCTTGGGGAATTTTCTATTTGTAATTTAAAAACCAAAGAAAAATGGCTTTGTCCATGTAATTCTTTAAGGCCTCCAGGCAGCGTTCAGCTTTCTAAGCCTGGGATTTAGGAGAATGTTCTTGCTCCACTTTCACATTAAAATAGAAAATGAATAATTCTTAAGAAATGTCACTGAGCTGTTTTTCATCCATATTTTGAACCCAACTTTGCATGCCTTATACATTTTGGATATTTAGGGGACTAATATGGAATTATGACCTCCCGTGATATTATTTATTGGGCAATAAAAATTCCTCCCACCAGATCAAATCTTTCACAATTTTGGCAGCCTTGAACCAAGGTACTGATGTCCAAAGGAGAAAGCTTAAGAACTTTAGGTCCTGAGAATGAGCTAATACAGACCACATCGACACATCTCAGGTTGTAACTATCTCCCTAGACACCCCCACTGACAGGAATCCCGAGTGGCCTCTGATCGAGTCTCAGGCCAGCAACTTCCCCAGCGGCTATGCTGTTAGGAAGGGTGCCTGGACAGGGTCTGTGTCAGTGCTGTCCCCAAGCTGTACCCCAGTCAGAATTTCATCAGCTGGAATCAGGTTGTAGCAGTCCTGATCTTGCTCAGAGCTACTGTGAAGCCCCAAACTATTTTAATGTTGGAGTGATTGTTTTTCTGATGAAGAGGAGGCAGAAGTTCTCCTCTGATTTTTCCTTTTTTTTTTTTTTTTGGATGAACAAAGGCCAGTAGCCTGAAAGATGACTGGTTTACTTCTTTGCTATCACACCCCATGGACATTGATGGCCATGACAGGCACATCTTTCCCACCCCCACCCCAACTTCAAATGTTCTAGAAAGCAATAAAATCAGGAATGTTCTTATCTCCTGTCTCCTCTTCCTGCGGACAACTGGGAGCAGATGCCAGAGGTTTTATTGCTCCCAATGTAAATCTGAGCAGATAAAATCATAGGCTTATGGAATAAGTAAATCACTACATAACTTCAGTCTGGGAAATTAAGTTTGTCTAGTAGTGAATTATCTTGTTTTAAGTGAGCCTTAAAAATAACAGCTGGTGAACTTGATACGACTACATTTTTGTTCATATCTTTCTGTCCATAAGAAAGTCTCTTATTAATCTATTAATGGGGAACTTATTCCATTGACTAAAAGTAGAGGCAACAATTGATGAAAACATTTTTTTCAGGAAAATATGCAAAACCCTAGTACCTAACAAGCCATTCTTGCCATTCTGGAAGGAGAAAAGAGATCAGTGATGATGCTGGGTAAGAATTTTTTCTTATAACTTCACCAAGTCCAATCCATGAAACAAAGATATTAATATATTGAGAACACTGCCATGCCTTCCAGCAGAACAGACCTCAGTGCTGAAGCGTCAGTCCCTCAAAAGAATTCATTCCACCTCTTATCTCATAAAACCCCTAGGTGAGTTATGAAATGTTAATGTGAGAAAAGGTTCTGTGGTCAAATAAGTTTTAGAAATGCTCAAATAAAGTTGAACAGGTTTCTTTAGTGTGCAATTTATGAGATCCTTTAATATGTGTTGTGATCTTGTGATCTCCAAGGGAGTGTTGGGGCAGGCCAGTGGAATTTCCCAGGTAGAATTAGGTGGGCCACATGTGGCTTATCACCGGACTGTAGTAGCAATAAAAACCGAGTTTCAGCCACAGAGCATTGTTCTCCATGCATTTTGAATAATCCTTGGGTTAGTAATGAGGTTATATGAGAACCAAGCCTGCTGATAACCTCACACTAAAAGGATTTCAAAGGCTTTTATCCAAAAGATAAAAGATGAATTTGAATTTCTACCAGGTTAGTTTCAGCCTCTAAAATCTCATATTCTGCAACTGCATGGTATTCCCAGAAGTTGTGAAACAAAGGTCTTTTACTGTGAGATTCACAAGCATTCAACCAAAATCAGAAATGGGAAGGAGAGCTTAATCAACTACTGGAAAATATCATTTTCATGAAATTCACATACACACACAGAGAGACACACACAGTCCATAATGTAGTTCTGAAATTTTAAAGTAATCCGAAGGTAAGCTGCAAATATTAATTTACCCACCAATACTCAGTTTCAAATAAAAGAAACTGTATTTAGACAAAATATACATAAGAGGATTTGAATTACAATGAGTCATTAAAAATGCCCAACTCTCTGGCCAAAGGCTTTCTCACCACTCAGTCCTTTGTGGCTCTACTAGTTTTAGTTTCTTTATAAACTATATAATGATTAAAGTGATGCTAGAGGAAAATTTTTCAGGTGCAAAATTAACAAGAGGAAAATAACTTTAATAATAATAATATTACAAATTATTAATATATTTGAAAATGAAAGGCTAGTGACAGCTACCTGTATGCTCCTTGCACCAAATCCTTAGTGCACTCTGCTCTTCACTCCTGCCATGCTCGTGCCGTGCAATGACCATTCCCCTTGGTGTCACATTCCATGCCTTTTTCCCACGTCTGACCCTGTAGGATCTCTGTGGCCCTGGACTCTACTATATGTAATTTCCTCTGGGGAATTCTGCACCTTGGACTTCAGAGTTCTGTGTTTTTCTGGATTTTCTCCTACATCTCCGTTCTCTTTCCTTCCAACACTTTTCCTAACCTGAATGTCGACATTCTCCCATGTTCTGTCCTAGCTCTCTTATCACACAAGTGCCCTGGTCAAACCTCCGATGCCACGTCTTCAATCTGAGCTGTAGAACCAAATCACCAACCACCTCCCAGACACGGCCAGCGTCACCTCGCACCTAACATGTCTCAAACCAAGCGTGTCATCTCCCTGCCCCTTGCACCTGTCTATCTTCCCATGTGCCTGTCTCAGGAAGGAGCCTCCTGCGTGCAATGGTGCAATGTGGCACCTCCATCTTCTCCAGGAATTTGGACTAGAAACTTAGAATCAGCTCAGACTTGTCCTCCCAGTCTGGGGCCTCCGAGTCCTCTGAAATGTCTCCATTATCCACCTACTTTTTTTCTATTCTGTTTTCCATTTCCTCAATTCAGGACCTCATCATTTCCTGTTTTCTTTTTCTCTGACCTCTCTCCTTTCAAATTCAAGTGTGGGGCAACCAGCAGAAACATACCTCAAACAAAGGTCAGATCATGCCACTGGCCACCTATGGAAGCATGAATGACACCAAATTGTCAAGGAGTCCTGACTGCTGAATTGCTGGGTCTATCTGGGCTACCTGAGTGGCCAATCGGTAAGCCCTTGCTCTCTCTCTACTACTGAAGCTGTGTGACAGAGATTGGAGTAACTGTGCTTCCTGAGAAAGCATGACTTACATTTACAACTCAGAGCTTGGCATTTGAAACTCAGCCCTTATTACTCTAGGTTCTCCCTGATGGAGGCCCCAAACTATCTCATCATCGCCTACTATTAATATGTGCCTCGAGACACTGGACCACAACTTTTTGACCATTCTTCACAGTGAAAAATTTTGTGCATCTTCGGCTTGGTCTGGATACTTTTTCCTATCTTCTGTATCTGGACACCTGATGTTCTTCAAGGCTCAATCCAAATGTGACAAAGTCTGTGAAACCTTCCCTGATTTTCCACCAAAGCACATAGACATTGATCTTGTCTTTTCTGCATGTTGCCACAGCCCTTCTTAGCTTCCTTATTTGGTATACCTGACTTCTAGCTCAGGGTTTTTCAAGCTCGGCATGATTGACTTTTATTTTATTTTATTTTTTTATTTTTATTTTTATTTTTTTTTGAGACAGAGTCTCGCTTTGTTGTCCAGGCTAGAGTGAGTGCCGTGGCGTCAGGCTAGCTCACAGCAACCTCAAACTCCTGGGCTCGAGCGATCCTTCTGCCTCAGCCTCCCGAGTAGCTGGGACTACAGGCATGCGCCACCATGCCCGGCTAATTTTTTTTATATACATATCAGTTGGCCAATTAATTTCTTTCTATTTATAGTAGAGACGGGGTCTCGCTCTTGCTCAGGCTGGTTTTGAACTCCTGACCTTGAGCAATCCGCCTGCCTCGGCCTCCCAGAGAGCTAGGATTACAGGCGTGAGCCACCACGCCCGGCCTGACTTTTATTTTTTTTAAAAGGTCAAGTTTTGTTTGTTTGTTTGTTTGTTTGTTTGAATTAAATCTTTTATTTTTAGATAATTATAGATTCACATGTGTTTGTAA